GACTCTGACCCTCCTTCACTTCACCTCTGTGCTCTACATTTTTGCAGTTGGCAAATTGCAGGTTGTGCCTGTACAGTGGCAACACACACACACACACACACACACACACACACACACACGCACGGCCTGCTTCAGTCCAGGCTGGTGGGTGGGGCCTTGTATTGCTCCCTGGTGGAGCATTTTGAGTCAATCTGCAGGGGACTGAACTACCCTGCAAACAGCGGGGGTGTACAGTTCCACAGACACACACTGTTGAGTTAATGGACTATCCCTCGCTGGGATTGCCACAGAGAGGATGAATGTATCGAACTCTCACTCCTCCTGCTCACAGGAAGCTGAAAACTGTCTGCCGGATCTGCTTTCCCTTTTTATTCCACATCTTATCTTGCCTTAATCTTACACAGAATACATGTTTGTATTTCACTAGGATTTTCTTTTCCTTTGGAGAGAACACATGTTCTCCTCAGAATTTTTTTTAGATATTCCGCCCTCTAGCCAACAAACGATCAGAGCTGATTTGTCTTGGTCCCTGCCAGAGTTTTTTTTAAATCTTCTTAATCTTAAAGCATTGATTAATTAGGTCATCATCACTTAGGCCCAAAAAACGTTCTATTAACTTTCTCTGTTCAACATTATAAGCTGCAGCATACTCAAGTTATGGACCAGAAGATTTTTACAGTGTTTACAGCGCTCCCTACAGGGCAAAGTGAGCTAAATGCTAATAATTTCCACCATTGACCAAAAATCCATGCAAACTCAACAAACTGTTAACATTGACAAGTGTTATGATGTGAGCAAAACCATCACAGACGACTTTATACTGCAAGTCAAGCTCACTCACCAACTCTGAGTTTGAAGTCATTGAAGGAGTGTTTGTTTATAACCTCCAGTTTGCCCACCAGAGCAAACGCAAACTCCAGCATGGTCCCGATGTGCATGTACTGCCTGTCAGGCTCCTGTAAAAAAAGGAGGACCAACAACTATTTTTAAAGATTTGGTTTTTTTTTATTATTATTTAATGCCATTCACTGTTGAAGGGACAAGTAGAAGTGATACCTGTGACGTGTACTCAGGCCCTGCGGATGCGTTCAGCCCAGTAGCGGCCATGTAAGTGCTCCCGATGGTCTTGATTTTCTCCACCCCACTGAACTTGGGTTTGGACAACAGCTGCATACACAGGTTCACACAGGTGAGACCATGTAGGGCTACGGCTAAAGCTCTGGGGCACCAACACAACTGTGTGCATTGATTTCAGCTAAGGATGACATCCAGGCTGCAGCTAACAGCGGATGCTGTGTGGGATGATGTGGGTCGATGATATAGGCTTTGGTTTACCTCGTCAAAGTCGGCGATGATTTCATTGAGCAGCCTGAGGCACTCTAATCCTTCTTTGTTGACATCTGACTCTGTGTAGAACTCTTTAAAGTCAGGGATGGAGGCAAACATGACGCACACCAGGTCATAAGACTGGTGGTAGAGATCCTGTGTGACAAAGAGCATGAGGCAGAATATGTAGGTGAGATTAGAAGGCTGCGACACATCGGCACGTCATCCTCAAAAAACATCCAGCGTGTGTCAGTGATGATGCAGTGCTGTGTGCATAAATGTCAGATTTGGATCCTGTGGATATTTCCTGTGTCTGAAAAAAAAATCACTTTCAAATGCACGGCAGCAGACAGAACCAATAAGAAGAACCAAACAAACAGAAGTAACTTCCTGTCAGATTGTGTTAAGTGAATCACACGGAGTCTTTATTTAGAAACACTTCTCCCTTGGTAAACCTGCTAACACTGAGGCTAACACAGAGACAGTGATATAAGAAGAGCTCAAACCCATGCACTTCTACTTCCAAGTACATAACTAAATTCAATTCAATGGTTGCAGTCGTGCTTTTAATTATTATGAGATTTTGAGAGAAGAAGAGACAGAACAGATACACCGTACCTCGTTCTTCCAGTTACGTGCCAGAAAATGTTCCGCAACGTGCGCCGGCAGCACGTTCTCCAGCAGCACCCGGTTCAGGTTCTCCATGGTTTCGATCTCCTCACACTCCTTCTTGAACTTGTTCTTCCACAGAAAGTCTAACCTACAGTAATATTCATTCTGTTACAAGAGGACACAGAGGTAAAGAGACTGAAGGTACAGCTTGCTTCAGGCAAGTAACAGAGAAAAAAAAAACTGAATCAGTAACAAGTTCTCAGACAGGAGAGGAGAGAAAGAGATAAAAAACAGCAGCATTAGTGTTGACAAGTTCGAGGATTTGGTTGTGAAATTATTACAAACGGTCACAGAGCTTGTTTGACAGCTTTACACAGACTTTGGACACAAATTAAAAGGCTGCTCGGGGCAAAATGACCTTTTGCAAAATCACAGTGGAAAGTATTTCAGCCACAAACAATGTTTGTCAGTGTTTTATTCTAACCCATTTTAGTTACATGCCAGACAAGTGCTGTGGAACCAGATTAACACGGGGAAAAAACATCTAAAACTGACTGCAAATACTGAACTGAATACTGAGATAGGATTACTGTATTTTCTGGACTATAAGTCGCACCGGACTATTAGTCACACCTGTGCCCTCTAGTGTGAAAATAAATGTGTGAAATTATATATTTTAATATACAAGTCACAGCTGCGTAAAAGTCCCAAACCCAGCCAAAGGATGAAAAAATGTGCGACTTATAGTCCGGAAAATACGGTAAACATTTGTTACTGTTATCACAGGTATAAAATCATGAAGTAAAATGCAACACATTAGGGCTGCTATTTCAAAGTTTACTTCCTGAATTTTATTGCCCAGGTTTGTACCAAAGCTGCAGGGAAAAGCAATTCTCCATTTTCTGGACACTCACCAAGTACAGTGAGTCCACTGCAGTGGCATTATCCTAAAATAGCAGAGCTGGAGAGCACACAGCTCTTAACAACCACTAGTCCTTGGTTGATGCACCTACTACTTAAATAGTAAATATCAACTTCCACCCTCTTCTTCTTGGCTGATGGAGAGGGAAAGACAGGCTGATACCGCCGTGTGGCTTTGGCATCGTTTGACACAGGAAGTTAAAGCGCCAGTCAGATGTGCACATATTTTTATCTGGTAAACGAAGCAGATAAAGTTGTTTTTTCTACATGACTAAAGGCACTCCTCTGTCGACATGCGATTGCCTGACTGACACCAGAAAGTCACACAGGTGAGTGTGTATTTTTGCATACATTTTTACATTGGCATACACATCCTGATCCCAGATCAGTATCATCATCCTTATCTAACTGCTTCCTCAGGCCACATCTACATTCCCAGGAAAAAAGAAAACAACAGAGGCCACTTTTCCTTGCAAAAACCTGGGGCCGTGATGAGAACATTATCAGCAGTAAAAAGACAGACAGTGACAGATAACGTCCTTCAAACGGTTCTGGTGCCGACTTACCTGTCTGGCAAGCACAAGCAGCGTGATGAAAAAGATGAAGAGGGAGATAGAGCCCATCGTCTTCAAGTCTTTGAGAACACCTGGTCTTGAAGGGCAGAGAAAAGCACAGAGAAATGTGAGTGGATTTGGGAATGGTGAGGCAGGAGACAGAACAGACAGGAACAGATTTTTGTAAAAAAAAAAAAAAAAACTTGACAAGAGGGAAAAGAGTGTAATGCAGGAAAAAAAGGAAAATTTAATTAAAGATGGCAATCGTGAGTGTGTGCAGTGACACATGGACGGTTCGGAGGACATGTTGCTTTGTTGTAGGAAAACTACAGCCACAGCATCTCTGAGTGCGGCTGAGCTTCACTCTCTATAACTGAACTCCTAATCTTTAATCGAATTCTGCATCTGCTGTGTCTCAAATGACCAAGAACAATGTGACATCTTCTAGAACGCAAAAAAACTAAGCTAACTATATTTATATTTATGTTTATATATATTCACACACACACAGTTGTTATGAGCTTGTTGTTAGTTATTTTAACTGTTTGTTTGTGATTCGACTAAAATACAGAACAGATAGACACATATCTCAATAAAGATGTATTTAACATTCTCTTCATTTGTCTGTACAGATAGTGAAATAGAGAATAAATCTAATCAGTCTTGCAAAGATGTAATTTTCCGCCACTCATTTTCAAACATAATTACACACAAATTACCTTCAGAGAATTTCTACTATTGGGTTTTATTGAGTTTTTAACCTGGTTTGGAGCATAATTATTGAAAAGCTACTGGAGGTTAGATTGAGCCTGAAAACTGCTTGGTGATGTTGAGCTGAGGTTGATGAGAAGAAAAAAAACAGGTGACTTTTGACTTCCCCTCGTACCATGGCTTTGTTATCAGTTGCCTTGATTAAAAATTCTACATTCGTATGTTTTGTTTAAGACATTTTCTTACGATCTGATCATGTCGAAAGACATTTTCTTACGATCTGATCATGTCGAGGACGTCGACGTCGACACCGGTGTCACTGACGTGTCTTTCCTTTCACACCATCCTTATCACTCAGTGCAGACACTGACATGACATTTAAATCTCAATGACGTCACAAAAAACAAGTGCTCACATTTTCACCACAGCTGTAGTGAGAAAACCTAATAATTAATGTGTTGGGATTAGACCTGAGAACCCCTCAGATGTATTTTTTCTGGAGGCTAATGCCGTCCTCAGTGTCAATCGTGGATCTTACACAGATCAGATCTGACGTAAGGCTTTTTGCAAACAAAGTTCTCTTTTTAACAAAATTTTACTCACTAATAACCAGGCCTAGACTGTTGGGTGTATTCCCACAGTTTAAAAAAAAAAAAAAAGTATTTTAATTTTTAATCCTTTATATACAGTATATATATATATATATTATATATTATATATATTATTATATTATATTATTATATATATGTAAATCTATTATATCTTGTCTGTACAACCCTTGTTGTTTGGTAGCCCTTGTCCAGGTACATGTCCACTTACCGGTCCAGAATCTTAGTCTTGTACAGGAATCTACTGTACTCATCCAGCAGGGTGGCATGCGTTTGCAGAATGATGATGTTGTAAACAACTACGGCTGTTAACATAATCATCATTTTCAGCTCGTAGTTTATCCTCAGGAACACTGAGCAGGAGATAAGGCCCAAGACGCAGCTGTAAATTAAATACTGGTATCAAGAAAGCAGACAAACAGATTAGTTCTGTGATTAGTTTGAAAATGATCAAAGACAATAAAACTGACATCACACCATAATCAGCTTTACTTACAGGAAGGTAGAAATTGTTTTTGCCAGAGACAGCAATTAGTTGTCCATTAGTGTAAAACAGTGATTCATTGGATGAATTGTAAACAGGAACTGGAGGCAACACACTGTCTCCTAAAAAGAACTGCAGATGAAACAGAACACAAACAGACACAGAAAATCTTAAATAAAGACCATGACACCAAGAAAAGAGGACGGTTTAAAAACCACCTAAAAAAAACTGAATCTCTTAATGACTTGGAAATACTATTGACAGACCAATTCCTCTTTTTCCTTAACTTGCTTGTTGGTGTGCAAAAAGACAAACTGATCAACATTGGTCTGGCAGGCAAACAGAACCTGGTTAGATACGAGGCCAACAGTGACAACCATTCAATAATGTCCTTTGAAGTGGACCTGCTGGACAAAGATGATGATTGGCTCCCACACGGATGCAAACCAAGTTAATTTGCTTCAGCCGCCCTGAGCGTTTGACCCATGTCAGGTGCAAAACAAGATTATAATCTCTGGAATCGATTTGCGAGAAGGTCCAAACCTGGGCCTTGACTACCTGTAGGACCCTTGGGCTACAACACTTTTATCCAAGACTAGTCCAAGTCCAGATTGTCTTGTTTCTTTGCACAGAAATAAATCTCAATCAGATAAATCAGATTGAGGGGTGTGTCAGGGAACAGGTAAAATAACTCAAAACGGTTGAGACAGCGGCGCCTTATCACAACATAAGAATACTGTCAGTCCTGTGAAGCGGAACAGCAATCTCTGTGTTTCAACAATGGAGCAAAAAACAGCTTAACAAAAGAAAACATTACAAAGGAAGACATTTCCTCCATGGTGATTTGAAATCCAATTAAAAACAAAAAACAACTCACAACCAAATGCAAAGTGTTGTGTGTGTATTCATTGGAAACTGTAAATGGAAGAGACATGTTTTTTTTTTCCCCCTGTGGCACCACGTTGGCCTATTCACCTTTCACTGCTTTAACAGCCTCACATTCACACTGATGTGTAAATTAACTGTAGTGTAAAAAAAAAAAAGACATACTCCTAATTTGCATGTTGTACAATGTGTATTGTTTCCAATTGAAAAAACGCATTTAGGATCTACACAAGCTCCATTTTCTCCCTCTCTGTATTTTAACTGCAACATTCAACACACCACGTTTGTTCTTAACCAGAGTCAGAGGCACACGGTTCCATGAGTGGCTTCTGATTCCTTTTTTTCCTAGTCAATACCTAATTGGTGACTGCAGTGTCTGCACATAAAAGCTTACCATATTGAAGACTGCCATTATGAGTATTAGAGCGGTGGTTGTCATGGTGAGCGTGATGCGGGGCCATGGATTGTTGGCAATAATGACTGATGACCTCAGCAGCCACATCCAAGAAGTAGAGGTACTCTTGCTGCAGTGCTAGACACACACACGTACACGCACAAAAACACACAATAATGCGAGCATGTCAGTTACACTGGAAGACTGGGATTATCAAAGGTCGGGAACATGGAGCAGCCGCGGAGCCGGCAGGTGGAAACACAAACAAACTGAAAATGATTGACATTTTAATTGTACTGAAGGAAGACACACAGAGGTGCATAATTTAATGCAACAGCAGCGATTAAAACTCCTGATGAAAACGCTACGCTAATATAAGCACCACCGCACAGGCTGCTAATACAACTAAATAAATCTTAAAGCAATAAAAGGGAGCTTTGATTAGAAGCAAGGCAAAACCCAAAGGTTATTTTTTTTCCAGCATCGATTTCTGCTGCTGTGCTGCGTAAATGAGGAGGCAACGTGAGGATTATAAATGAAAAGCCTTTAAATCAATTAAAGATAGGCGTATTAACAGCTGGCTGATGAAACACCGCATTACGGTCAATTACATTACCTTACAGCTGTTCCACATGAACTACAAATGACTGTTCTTCCTGCTGTTCTCCCCTGGTGCTCGTGAAACACTCCTTTCTCACCTGTTTTTATCGTCATTTGATCGGTAATTATCCTTTTGTTAACTCCTTTCTCACCTGTTTTTATCGTCACTTGACTCTTTGACAAACAGTTTTCAAGGCCCAGTTCAACCACAAAATGTTCTATCATCTTATATCTAATTTTTTTTAATAAATGTCCTAATTTTCAGCAGTTTCATAGTGTAGCGGTCTATCATGCCTGCCTTGTACACCTGCCTTTTACGAGGATAAGAAGGTATCGGATTGATATAGGTATTGGCAGATGATCCAAGCTTCAGGATCGGTATCGGACAGATGACGGTCGGACGGATGAAAAGGTTGTATCTAACCATCAGTTGTCGTGGTGGACTATAAAACTATCACTTGTTTACACAGTGTTTACTTGTTGGTCTCCACTCATGCAGAAAATTCAGTCTTCCTAGTTTTCAGTTAATGTGATCAATTGTTACAGTCAATTACTTCTCTTCTGCTGCTGCTGCTGTTGAATGAGTTTAAGTGCAAGACAACGACAGTGAAGGCTGCCATCAATTTCATGATCAACCCAGCCCAACATGTCGGCAGCACTTCAGCAGAATGGATTTGACATTTAGGTTCGTCAAGGACTGAGCTGTATTTCAATACAGTGGTGTTTGGTGTCATGACAAGGACTGTTACAGTAACACTTGATTATGAATTTGTTTAAGGCTGAGAGACAGCACTGTTGAACAGACAGTTGTTTGATGATTTAATACAGTCTCACCTCTTGAATACTTCACCTTTCATGTATTTTACTTTGATATAATATAGCAATACCAATACTTGTAGTAATACATCATATTTTGTTTTACTGTACAACACCGAATGCCTTTTTACTCTTTTGTCTCCACAGTACAGGGGTCTGTAACCTAGGGTTACCAAGCAACCTGTAGTAATTGCCATGACTCCCTACAGTGGACAAAATTCTGACCAACTGTGGTTAAAAACCATCACTGACATGTCAGACCAGTGACTGAGGTGTACAGCAGATAGGAAGGGCCTGTCGCTGTATACGAAAATTCAACCAATTCAACATGTCAAACTAGTATTTTAGATTGCTGGTTAACGGCAAACCAACGTCACACTTTCATATTAGCTCAGGATCAGGTGTGAAATGTTTCAGTAGAGCTCAGGTTAACCTTAGGTTTATGTGACTACTGTGAGGCTTTTATACTGAATACTGTGTCTGAATTCATCACTGCCTACATGTGGATTTTTTTTTCCTGTGGTACAACATAATAAACAACCATGAATTGTTGACAATTATTTGTCTTTGTAAATCTGTAGTATTACTACAGTAATTCTACATATTACTATTACTGCTTAATAGTGTATGAAGTATGTATATGTATGATAACATTGTTGCAATACTCAATTGTTAAATGTGGTGTTAAATCTGTCTAAAATGCTCTTGTCAAAACCAACAATTTCTATCCAGATTCAATTTTTTTTTCGTTTAATTTTATTTGAACTCTTCTATGTTGTTTTCCTTAGTTCCGTCAATTTTTTATTGGCCAACTTGAGATTCAAACCAAGCTCAGTTTCCACAGTAAGTTTAACACAACAGCGGATTTAAATTGCAGTATTTCATATTCACTGTCTTTCTGCCACCTACTGTGTGAAGAGCACACTTGTTTTCCCAGCATTATTACAGCAACACTTCTGTGCTTTGTCCTCAGTACAGTAAGTACTTCTGGAGGACCCAATGGGTAGGTTGATAAAAAAAAAAAATAATAATAATAAGCAATCATCTATCATCATAATAGTAATTGGAGTAATCGCCAAGAAGCACTTTCCTAATGCAGAGTTGAGCCTGCTTTTTTTCTTTTGTCCCCCAGACACAATTCAGGCACTTGTGTTGAACTAAAGGGCACTTAAGCCAACAACAGGGTCTGTTAATGGGCCGTGGAGGTGACCAGAGGGCCACTCGTGGCTCTCATGCGATTAGAGCAAATGTTAAGCACACAAGTGTCCCATTACAGACAGATCCATGTTTAACACTGGATAAAAATATTAAAAGAGAGCACTATAAAAAACAGTTATGTCAGCATTAAAAAAGATGAGACTCACCAGAAAGTGTCCGATGAAACAAATAAAGAGGATTAAGGAAAGGATGAGAAAGGCCATTCCGAAGGATAACTTTAAAATAGTCGTCCTAAAAATAAAATAAAGTCACAGAAGCAAACATCAGTAATTGTGATAAACTCAGATCCACAGCAGCAGAGCAGAAGTCCGTCGGAGTCACTTGAGCTCTAATTCATCGTAAACACTCACGTACTTCGGGAGGACGAGAATCTGCACGATGAAGATGCAGGAAAAGATCAAACAGGCGCAGGTGACGTAGTACTTGAAGGCAGGCAGGGTGGTTGCTCTGTACTGCAAAATTAATACAAAGGTCAGGGAATAAGATGCCACAAGTGTGGGCTTAACAGCAAGCAATAAAACAGCTGCAGTGCAGAGCAGTAGTTCATTTTAACTGCCTTTTACCTCCTTCTCCAAGGACTTGTTGTGAAAGAACAGTGATATTCTCTGAATGTCCTCAGATTTTAGCCACTGCCTAAAGACAGAGGAAAAAAAAAAAAAAAAAAGATTTAAGTGCAATTAAAGTGCAGTTGCTTTGAGACGTTTTTTCCGCCGCCTGGCAAATGGACTACGTTTAGTTAATAGCTGTAATAATAGAGTAGAATGAAACCTCTACAGCTGGATGACATCCAGTAGTAGGCCATTTTACAGTGATAATGCACTGTTCTGTGTATTTTTGTTAGAAACACAGTAGAGTGGACGTGTACTACTGCACCACCTTCACAATGTCATTTAAACGTTTTTGATTGAAACGCATTACGACACACGGGCAGAATGACACACACTCATACAAATATTATTTCGTGACGCACCTCACGTCTTTGCAGACTCACCAGGTACACGGCAGTAAATGAGTCTAAGGATACCAGTGTAAAACAGATACTTCTAACTGCTTATCTCGATTACTCATGATTAATCAGGTTTAATCCACCACTACCATGTGATTAATCTGATTAAAAATTGTAATGGAATAATGATACGATAAAAAGAAGATGCTTAATGGAATAAAGTTAGTTAGTTGAAAAAAAGTCAATCAATGACTTGTTGAACCAACAAAGTTATTTGTTCTTTGAAGAACTTCCAGAGGATGTCTTTCAGACCACCACCTGCTTCTTTGCCTCCACTCAAGACCGAAAGCTTCTTTTAAATGTTACTTTATCTTTGGGAAAGGAAAACTGTTGTGAAGCTTTAATTATACAAAATTATTCCCATTCAATCTTTGGTTAAGAAGTTTGCTTTGACTTTTAAACTATTCATTTTAGAGGGATGAGACAGAAATATTAAATTAGTCTAAGCTGTAGAGGACTCCAGAGAGACGTCTTTTAACACATTTTAGTTTTTAAAAATCCTTTTGAAATGGAAATATTTTGACGACTCTGATTTGCACTCTTACCATTTTACAGATTCTGTCTATATCTGCTGCTATGTTGTACCATTGGACTTCAGTCATCTAAGCCTCATCACCATCACACTTGGTATGGACTTTTTATTTACACAAATCTGTGATTTGAGCTCCAGCTTCAGTTTAGTTGTCCTGTCTCTCTGTGTTTTGCAAAGATTAAATCATTGTATTCTGTTCTGTCTGCCTTAGAAAATGAGAGTTCTTTTGGATATAGTAGTATGACTGGAACCGTACAGCCACGGTGGTGACGACATACACACAAAGATTGGTGTGAGATTTTAGCTGTGATTTTCTCCACCATGTCATTGCTGAGTCTCACTGCACACCGTATTAACTCTTCAACTATAAAATACGCAGCACTGTTATCTCTGCGGACACAGGAATAAGACTGCAACACTGAATCAGCTGCGACGCAACAGTAAAAAAGACCAAACTCTGTAAAAGCTACAGTTTTTTTTCTGCACAGTTATATTAAATTAACTCTTCTTACTTTTGTGAATTTATTCCATCAAAGGTTCTTATCATCCTCTCATTTAGCTCCTCCTCGAACCGTTTCTTCTGAGATTTGGTCCTGTTAAAACAAACAAACGAACAGAGAAAAGAGGCAGAATATAGTTTAAGTTCTCAGAAGTTACTAACAAGTTTCAAAGCCCTGCATATGTTTCTGTCATCTGCCCCCACACTCTTGGATCCTGCCAGAATATTATTATTATTTCAGTAAAGGGGAAAAGAGAGGTGCTTGCCTTTCTGATCTCCTCTGGAAGTGATACTGTCCTATGGGCACGTCCTAGACACAGAGGAAGCAGAGAGATGAGTCAAAGCTAGAGACGAACTGGCCTCAACATTAGTATGCTGCATGGAGGTGTAAAAAAAACAAAAAAGTGACCAACAGCGGTGTTGATCTTTCCATTTTCATTAGTCATGCTGTCTCTGTGGTGCAGGTTAGCAAAGGGCTTGGCTGCTCCCCAAGACTCCAGGTAACGAGTCATCCTGACTGACGCCCTCATCCTGGCACAGTCTGGTGTGTGTTTGGGACGATAGTGATGCTGTGGACTCCGGCGCTCCACCTGAAAAAACACAGGTACAAATGTGTTGTTTTATGACAGTTTGATAGTTAGTCAGTTTAAATCTGCGGTGTGTGATTGGAAACCTTTGGGTTGATGACCAGATAAGTGACGACTCCGTGTTCTTTCAGATAAGGATCTCTTTCTTGTCCATCCCCGTCCTCCACTTTATAGGCACCGTTCAGGTGCTCCAGCGTCACTGAAGTGATGTGGACTCTCCTGCCAATGAACAGCCATCAAAAACAAATATATTTATAACCACCGCAACTAATGAAAATATTTAAAATTAATAATTTAAACAACAAATTATCACAAATAAACAAGCACTTCTTCTTATCTTTATGTTCTCTTACCCGGGCACACCACCTGCTTCCATATGATTGGCCAACGTGACATCATGTGACCAGACATCGTACTGCCATTTCTGAAGTCCGATCACGCCACACAGCACGTTCCCAGAATGCACGCCGACACGCATGTTGATGTCAACTACTGTAGCATCCCTCACTTTCCTGCCATCCAGAAAAAAGTCTTTCATTAAAATATTTCATTCTTTTTTTTTAACTGCTTGATCCTTCCTGTGGGTCACAGGGTCTGAAGTCGATCACAGCAGTCGGTCGGCCGGCTAGGCCTTGGACATTTCACCAGCAGTTCAAAATGGTTTAAGCATCTCAGGAAAAAGTTTCAAATCAAGTTGAGGATAATTATTGTACTCAAACGTCCAAAACTTTTTTTTGATAAACCCCAAACCTGCTCAGGGCTAGCCAGTTTAAATCACAGTAATGATCAGACAGCGACCACTCAACATTTATTCACACACACACTGTGACTTAACCTAATTAAATGAAGTACTTTGAAGTACTGCTCTGGTACAGTACTTACTTGATGGCCTCACACATGTCCAGACCCATTTTCACACAGTTCTTTGCATGGTTTGGTAGAGACTCCGGCAGACCAGACACGCAGTAGTAACAGTCACCCAGGATTTTGATCCGCATGCATTCGTTCTCCTACAAAACAAAAATATACAAAAAAAAAAAAAACTTTAGTTTTTTAATGGTTATTTTTCTTATATGAAAAGGGCCCAAACTAAAGCTAATCTAGGGCTAATATCAAAAGTTCACGGTTAATTTCATTGGACACTGTGTGTTGTAAAGACAATAAAGACGATTCTATTAAACCAGAGTATTAAACTGAATAGTATTACAAATTTACCTTGGCAATTTGATCAAATTTTCCAAACAGCTCGTTCAGCATGTGCACCAGTTCTCCAGGTGAACAGTCACTGGCCAGACGAGTGAAACCCACTATATCAGCGTACAGTATACTACAGATAAAACAAACAAACAACAAGTTTAGTGCTTCAGACCAGCACAGACATGTGCAGTACAACTACGAGAACACACAAATGGTACATGCCTGACGTTGGTGTGTCTCTGCACGTAGAGGTTGTGAAAGTTATTGGTGTTCTCCATCTGGCCAAAGTTTGGACCCTTCAATCTCTGGATGATCTCAGCTTTCATGACGCGAGCGATGTGGGCTGGCAGCAGTGACAAGAGCAGACGCTCCTGTAACGACAGAGACGGGGAGAGGCCCGAGTGAAAATCAAATCATTGTGTATGATATACATATGATAGTTAAACCACACATCATTTTTTTAAAACTTGCTTTTATCGCAAAGCACAAACTTCATTTTAAAAAGTGGTCTAATCTAAGAAAGCAACACGGTTCATGGACTGGTCACCAGGAGAGATGACGATGATAATTAATCACTGGGTCACAACCTTTTTTTTGGGTTTCTGATTTTATGCTGACTGGGTCACAACCTTTTTTTTGGGTTTTGATTTTATGCTGAGTCAAAATAAAGGCGCACCAGGTTTAAGATGTTTCTCATTGTTAAGGCACCACAGATATCTGAGGGATGGGATTCAAACCGGCAGCCCTCCGATTTCAAAGCCTGATCCAGAAGATGCCTGATTTTGCACTGCTTGCTTGTTGCCAAGAGAACAATTTCTGCAAAAAAGTTAATATACAGCATTTACTCTGCATTACACCAGCTGAATGTTTTTTGTTTGTTACAGTCATGCTTGAGTTTGACTAAGAGAACTTGGTTCATCAGAGAGAACACCAAACTTTGTCTTTGCTCTTTTCTCTTGTTTTTTTTTTTTTTTTGGTAGATGTTAGTTTTGATAGGGCTGTAGCAGCTGCATGTACTTCTCTGGCCGTGGGGTTTGTGTAAATGGACTAATGAGCTCAGTGTTCACTGACTGCCCTGATTGGACAAAAAACAACTGAAAATTAAAATCAAGAACAAAGCATTTACTGAATAACCCTGGCTTGACAATTACACACTTTTGGGTTAATGTTTAATTAAATTTGATCACATTAACACGATTATCCCACAGCTCTGATAATTAAATCAAGAGCTTTAACCAAAAGCTCCATATTTAAGGTCAGTTAAACCTTTTTTCTGTTTTGTTTTTTTCTTTCCTGCTTTTTCTCGATGATAACTTTTCTGACTCTGAAGTAAAAAGAATCAGCCCATAATTTGTAAATTCAGCTATGTTTATCTCCTGGGTCGACATATGGAATTTACTTCTGGACAACCTGTGTTGTAATTACCAATTAAAACTGGGTTAAAGGAAAGTTCAAGTCTGGAGAAGACAGATAATTAGCCAAATGTCATCTCCAACTTTTTTTTTCCCCCCAACATTTTCCATACCACTGATCAGATTTCATGTGAAACAGAGGTCCATGGTGGCTGTTAGAAAACTCTGCCAGGACCAACCAGTCGTCAGTCCTCCTCAGAGCATTCGTACTGAAGATGTAAGCACTTGCTGTTCCATGAAGGCAATTCACATTAAAGCAAACAACTAACAGCATAGATTATGAGTGCACAGGGAGAAAAAGTCTGCCGGGGAGAAAAGTCTCTCTGTACCCTAACTCCTGACCATCTGTCTCAGGCAGAGCTGTGCTACTTGGCTCCTGCAAAGCCCAGGGCAATATCAGCTACGGTGGAGGAGCACACGCTGCAATCACAGCAGGGATAAGCAGATCTGTACCAAAGCTGGGTGTATGAGGGCGCAGCTTGAGTCACCCTCTTCACACCGTAGCTGCAGTGTTTTAATAGGCTTCGTACTCCAAAACGTCTCACAGACTGTGTGTTTCAGTCTTTTTCCTGAACAGAAGCTGCTTCTGCTCAACTGTGGCTTCAACTGTTAGATTCCACAGATTCATCTACTGCTATTTATTCCCTTTCACGGGTGGTGAGGGAGCAGGCGATGCATTCAGGTACACTCGGCAGTGGTTTCCAACCTTTTTGGCTTGTAACCCCGTTCTGACATCACACATTTCCTGAAACCCCTGACATTTTAGTAGCTGCCACCTGCAGTCACATGACAGCAGCCTAAGAATACACTAGTTTAAGACTGTGTGGTGTTTTTAATCATAATTTTAAAAGAATTATAATTAGTTGAGTATCAGTAATTTCAATAATTACACTTTTCAGGTTACTTTTTAAACCTTTTACTGCACTGTTGTAGTCTCCTCATCTACTCTTCACCATTTTCACCCAGTCTAAAGAAAATGGCTTCCTGTGCTTCTGTTATCCTGGGGGATTAATCATCTTTTTTTTTAGTTCAAGGATCAGCCTTTTTATTGTCCTAAAATTCTTTCCTGTTAGATAAAACCTCTTCTACTCTCTCATGTTTTCAACCTTCTGTGTCTTTTCAGTGTGTCCTTCACAGCAACATCCAGATGTGACCAGCAACTCATTTATCAACAGTTCTCTCTGTCCTTACACCAATCAATAAGTTAGAATAAAAACATGACTGTGCCCCAAGATAGACAGACAGACAGACAGGCAGACAACGTTGAAAACACGGTGACGCACCAAACATGACATCAGATCGACTGCATCACCTGTGCTGTCTGTGTCACTACACGTAGGTTGTAATTATATCTTCATAATTAACAGCAGACTGAGTTCATGGAGGCTGAGGTGCAGTCGTACTGTAATACCCACAGTGGAGGCTCCAGAGACTGCAGAGTACTATCACACGCCCCGTGTGTTCGTTAACAATTAGCACATTTTGTTAAATCACACACAATCACCAACACCAGGTCTAAAGGGACTCTTTACAGTCTTTATCCACTGGGATCAGGGAGTGAGATGAAGAAGGTTATTTTTGTACTGAAACAACTTCGGTTCATTAATTTCCAATTAACCTGATCGAAATTTGAATGCAATTGAACCCAAGGGCAAAATGACGTACACTGTACATCAAATAATTCCACCGTCCACTCACTTATCGCTGCTCTCATACATAGTCAATAAATGTTTTTAGTTTTTTTTTTCATACCACTGGATCTAAAAATACCATCTAATTCAGCCGAGGGTTTAACTTGTGGTCAGACACGGCAGATTTCACCACACGAACGGCAGCAAATAAGGCCACAGCTGATAAGCTCACTGACACCACTGACAAATGGATTTTGAGGGACTGATTGTAATCACCAACTCTATGACAAGAACTTCAATTTAGTGGTAGAACTTGAGTTAAACTTTTGCATATTTTCCTTGACATTTTTCCATATTAATTTCATAAAAAATCCATTCTTTGGAAAAAGCCCTTTCTGTTCCTGCAATATGTAGGAATGACAAAATGTACGAATGACAATTTACCTTGATTAATCGTGATTAATTATGATAACTAACGATCATGTTTAATTACAATTAATTGCAATTAAATCATGATATCGATTAATTGATTAATAGGTTTGCAGCCCTATTTTTACAGGTATTAAATATCTGTGGCTGAGATTTTTAACACTGCAAACGATGCCGAGACCCTGCGACATCCGTGACCTTTGCAGCTTCACTGCTTATTCAGGCGTATTGATCACTTTACCTGTTGTCTCTTCTCGAACTCCAGTTTGATTGGGGACTTGATGCAGTTGCAGGTGTCATGATAGGTCTGCTTCAGGGCCAACTCCATCAGGTGTTTATGGTAGGCTCCTGCCATGTTGCCACACATGAAAATGATAATATTGGCCAGGATCTGTGCAGAAAAAAAAAGTAAAAAATTAAAATAAAGATCATAAAATGAGGTTAATTGTATCTGTATTTGAGAAGAAAAAAAAAAAAAAATTCAAATAAAGATCATAAAATGAGGTAAATTGTATCTGTATTTGAGAAGGAAAAAAAGATATATTTGTTTGTATTATAAGTAGTTGTTGTAGTTACTGTTGTTTTGTCAATTGTTTATTCCAGTGTCAGGAATTCATATTAGCTTCTGTTGATTTCACAAAAAGTCAACAGATCCCCAATAAAAATCCCAAAACTTTCATTTTTTCCACTTAAAAATCCTTCTTTAGTCAATTGAATTTAAGCCAAACAACAATTAAAATCCCATCGCATCACAGTTTTTATTCTATGCCAAACAACAATTAAAATCCCATCGCAGATTTTATTCTAAACAAAAACAAAAATAAATCATTGTTACTTTCAAAGTTTTGCTTTTCTGCTGGGTTTTACAGTAAAATGAGATTTCAGGAGTTAAGACAAATATTCAACACCAAAATCACCCTGGCTTTGCTTTTTAACTCCACACATTTCATTTTCAGATTTGCTTTACTGTAGTTTGTTTCCCCACATCTTTACTTCCAGCACACAATAGCAGCTTGAACAACATCAGGAGCTCAAAATGAATGCATATTTTTACAAAATGTAAAATTAATACTGAAAAATGAAATCAGACTTAATTTAGCTCCAGTTGACGTCTGCACATTTACCACTGAGATGGAACTGTAGTGAAAATGTCACCAAAACTGCAACATATTTACTAGTCTCCTTCCCTCTCTCTCTCTCTCCCTCCCTCCATGCCTCCCTCTGTGTCTCTCACACACTGCTGTTCTATTCCTGTTTGGGTTTTAACCCAGTTTAGTTCAGTGATCTGTGGGTTATGGAGCTCTTCTGATCTGATTTCCTGTATGCTGGGTTTGAGGTTAGATTTTATGATGCATACGGGAAGTAGGATTTTTCTAAGTATAAATTATATTTTTATCCATTGCTTATAAGCTATAAATACTGTAAAAAAACAAGCCCCAAACATATATAATAATTTTCCATGTACTATCCAGTTCTGCCATTAGACTGTACAAACAATATTAAAAAAATGCATCAGAATGGTAAATAACGATCACGTGGAAGTGTGTGACCTCTGCACCGACCCCGTTCAGGTGTTATTACTGAAAAAAACATTTTGTATTCCTGACAACAGCTTAACTGTGTCTTTCCCTGGCTTCCCTCTGTCCTGGTGATCACAAAACTAAACAACAACAAAAAAGAGACCACACACACACACATGCACACACACAGCTAATTCTGAGGCAGCACTTCTCTTTTATATCAATGAGCTCAGGTCCATGCACACAGCGAGGCCTGTCTCTACCCTAATTACCATGATTACAGCAAACACCACATCCCTCCACAGCCTCCATTTGACAATGGCATGGCAGGAGGGACCAAGCTGCTGTTAATCACCAACACACTCCTACAAAATCCATATCGAACAACACTGTAATATTCCATCGTCCACTGTTGACATTGCATAAGTAGAACTGCTGCAGTACTCATTCAGTACTTCAGTACTCACAGCTCCATCTTAGAGAAAGGCAGTGGTTCCCAAACTTTGTCTGTGGCGCCCCCTTTGGGCTCAGAAAAACTGACACAGTGTTGGCCTGGGAACAATACTTTCCAACTTTTCCTTAAGAGTGCATTGGTCATGCACATCCAGCAGCAGTTTCCACCAAATCGGTTTACTAAATTAACTTTGTTCCAAGTTTGTTATTGGATTGAATTCTTTATCCTCAACTAAGAAGCTTCATTACCATGGCCCAAAAAATAAATAAAATGTTTACTATGTTCTTGTGTCTTTTAAATACAGTAAATTACCAGTCCTTTATTTGTATTTTAAGGTAGTATTCACAGTTCAACAAATGTTTCACCTTCCACCATCGGTGGTCTGAGAAGCCCCTTTTTAAGCTCAAGTTTTTTTCTTAAGCAGATTATTAATTAAGTCAACCTGTGTTTCACCAATAGCTGACATCTGATGACTGCGAGCCGGACCATCTCAAAGGTTAGCTGTGTGAATCAGTTTGAAAATGCACTGATGCACAATTACAGGTAGGACGAGGTGTGACTTTCTCCTGAGGGCTGTGAGCTGTGCTGCTGAATTTAGAGACTATTTAAATCACACACCTCGGCTGTGTGCACAGCTCTAATGACATTCATTACACAACCTGGGGCGCGGGGTATTGGAGGTGGGGGGTGGAATCCAAAAAAGCTGTTAGCATCCCCTCAACAGAAATTACAGAATCAGACACTGATAGGTTAGTATAAGAACCCTAATCCCTCCATGGTCACACTTTGAAAAACGTAAAGTATAGAACCTAGAAGTCAAAGACATGAATCCTGACAGACAAGTCAATGACATGGCAAAAACACGTGTTCAACCAAATTTCTACTAAACAGTAAAACATAAAACAAACAGTTGCCTGAAGATTTGTCACTTGATGTAACTGACATTCTTGTCCCTCCTGCAATAGCTTTGTGCCTCCTTAGATTGCCCCAACCCCTATTTTGAATGAAGGTTAGACTAATGTTCAGCCTGTCTTTACTACCAGACAGTAAGAGGCATTACAGCTTGGTCTTTAGAAAACCAAGCTTTTTTCTAAATGGTTAAACGTAACACGTGACGCTGACGTCCCTGAAAGTCTGTCAGACATTTTATCAGCTAAAGCTGAGAGTGAGTGTGAGCGATGTGATGAATTATTAATGCCTTAAAACAAAAGCTGTGGAGCCTGTTCAGTCTGCAGCAGAGGCTGTGACACCCAACAACTTGTACAGCAAGATAAACATGGCACCGACTCCAGAGTTAACGCTGCCAGCCGCGAATGATAGAGTTATTGCTTTGGAGTCAACTGGTACAGTGTTGAAATTAAATGTTTATTTAAATCAAAGATGTGGAGCGCGTCTCGAAACACCGCAGTGAAACACCGCAGATTGTTTATTTATTTATTATTTATTTCCTCATAAACACAGAGCTGGCTCGGCGTTTCACCTCATTAATAAACGAGTCGATTCGTCTGTGATCCCAGTGAGATGGCCCTGTCCAGTTTTAATGGACAAAGTGGAGACATCAACAGGATTAATTCCCAGGCAACATCCCCCCCGTAGGGCTTTGTGATGTAGAAAAGGGAACAATAAATATTAGAAGACATTTAACTGCTGATAGTTACAAACTTTGTACCCACAAATATTGAAAAAGAAAATCATCTTAGCCCAAATTGAGGCCACAGTAGATGGCATATTTATTAGCGCTGAGGCAGAGTGGATCCACATGTCTGTCAGGACAAGAGTTTCATATTTTATGGAATAAGTTTTTAGTTTAATATTAGATTAAAAATTTTAAATGAATATCAGTGAGAGAGGAAGACATCTGCCTTCTTCAGTTTGCATCCAAAGGCTTAAGAAAAAAAAAACACAGAGTTGTAGCTATCTGATAAGTTCTCTGCAGCCTTGGCACATTTAAAAAGACAATGCTTTAAGGCAAATTAATTTATTTAATTACTTTAAAGGAATTAAGGCTCCAGGGGAAAAAAAGCAATTTTTCATCCAAAAGTACTTATTCAGGAAAGCAGAAGAAGTCGATTTAAAAAACTCAGAAATGGTGATAATATTTTGCTCTGGTACTGTCTCCATGGAACGCTCTGCAGAGGGTTTTTTTTTTTTTTTTTAATGTTTTTTTTAAATAGCTGCTGTTTGGTAGATCAGACTTTCACTCAGCTCACTTCTCTGGTTAAAGGAGGGCAAATGCCTCCATTTATCCTGACAAGAAGAAGTGGACTGATGTCGGCCGATACAGTAAACTGGTCAAATAAACACAGCTCTGCTCAGAACATCCATCCTAGATTATCTGACTTTAGGAGGACAGAGCAGAGTGGACGTGACCACAGATTAACATGCATCTTCTTAGTGCAGTCCCCCTTTGATAAAGGCAGATTCAAAAACCACCAGACTGTATTCACATCAACATCGTTACATCCAGCCCCCGATCTCCCATCAGCATCTCACACATGTTCGCCTCAACACCTCATCCGTCTTTCTTGCTGGCACTCACCAAGTAGAGCATCTAATAGGTTTAGTCGGGAAGAGTAAATTACACCACGATATCAAATAAGACGGGACCACCAGAGGAAGACGTGTAAAGAGGAGACGACTTCAATAAGGTGCAGAGTGAGGAGTGGGGTTGACAGAGACCTGAGCAGTCGAGCTTCAAACAGGACAACAACTGGCCAGGACTTCATGACTGGGACCGAAATATAATCCCTCTGTGGAAAAAAACGCCTACTCTACTCTTCCTTAAAATAAAAGTTTTCGTAGGTCAGTCAGTAAAAATCTGGGCGTGACCTCTGATGGGTCAGCTTTATCTCAATGGAGGATTTAAGTCACTCTCAGCACAGTATGTGTAATGGCTTATTAAAATGTGCAGTACAGTGTGTGTGCATATATGACTATGAAATAACAGAGAGGTCAATATGGCTGCATAGAAATAGAATAGACATTTGTAAATATAGTTACATTTTGGTGGGGTTTTTTTTTTACACTAAATTGCTTTTTTAAAACAGGCAGAGTCTCTGTTTACTATAGTGGTCTCTTGGCATGATTACGTTCAGGGACAGCCTGCCGTCTTGACCGCCCACTGAGCAACAATCTGCCCTGATTCGACACTGATTTTTGCAAGTTAAAGCACCAAGTATAGTTTCATTATTGCAATGAAGTTAAATTCACTGTTGGCTTTTCCCCGTCATCAGTGATAATGTGTTCAGTGATTAAGCACAGTTTTTCACACTGGACAAAACCGGTTCCCTCTGGGCTGAGAGTAAAGGCAATTCAGAACAGAGTTCTAGTGAATGGCAGACAAAGGGCAAAGCACTAGACCACCCTTAACCTCTGATATTATATACTGATATATGATGTAGGTTCAGGAGGTTACACACTGTTTTAAAGCTTCAGAGGAGATTCAAAAACAAGTCTCCATTATAATGTAAGTGATAATTGTTAATTTTTTTATGCCATACATTTTTCCAAGAAAAATCAGGAGAGGGAAAGAATGATGACAATAAGGGCAGCGGAAGATTTAGAAATATAAAAATACAAGCACTAACTGAGTGCAAGAACAGGTCTATATTTTCATCTGTGAAAAATTTACATAATTAGACTGTGGAGAATTTTAAATGCTGTTTAAATGACATTTTGTATGCACTTCCAACCATTTCTTTCTCTTGGTCAATACCCAGCGTGTATTGGATAAACAATGAGGATGAACAAGATAATTTCTATAGAAAATAATGATAGTAGTTGAAGCTTACATAATAGGAATTACCATTAATATTGTGCTTCCCTGGTATGGCAGAAATGGCCTCAGTAATTGGTAGAAGTATGTGTTTGGTTCATTATCAGTGACGCATGTCTTCTGAGGCACTCTGATTAAAATCATTATTCCTTAATGCAAAACAGGAATTCCACAATAATTTAAGTCTGCATTAGTCTAATGATTGGTTTCTTGTTGTTGGCATGTATGTGCTATTTTCTGCATCAGTCAACTGCTCGAAAACAATGCACCTGAAGCAGCAAACTGCTTGAAAATGAGTGACCTTTTAATAAAGGAGAGGAGAAAAATGGTACATTAGAGATTCCATCAGTATTCTGCTGTGCTAAATTGGTTTTAGTGTAAAGGTCACATTTGTTTGTTTGCTAAAAATATAAACAGCAAGAATAAAAGTACCAGAAATGGTTCAATTTGTGAGAAGAAGGAGAAACTATTAAAAAAGGGGAATAAAAAGTGCATTTTAAAATAACCAAAAAAAAAGGTGTATTCCATTTTTCTCACATGTTAATAATCTGTAGGATCTTTCACAGTAATTTAGAGAGGCTGCAGGTAGAACAGGGTGAAAAATGAACCTCATCTGTGTGATTTTGGAAACCAGTTTGCACAGAAAAATATGCAATTATGCTTCTGGATCTCCTCACCTGCCACACCACTTGGTCAACTGTAGTGGACAGGCACACACTCAACACAACAGTGTGTGAGGTGGAGGTCAGCACACTGGCGATAATGGCGTCCCGCATCGAGAAGGGCAGCATGGTGTAGACCACGAACACGATGAACAGAAAGAAGGAGACCTGCAGGCACAAAAGGTGACAGGTAAACACACTTTGTATGGATGTTAATAGTTCCAGTTAGAAATAGCACCTCCTGGTGGCAAAAGAAACCACAGATTTCTCCAGGAAACCTAATTTGCCACAGTAATACTTCAAACTCTGAAGTTCAGCTAAGGCATGGATTCTAAGAGCGAACGTTACTACAAACAGTGTCCATTTTAAATAATAAGCTGTGCACTTAAAATAAAGTGAAAAAAATAAAATCCCATTTTGAGGGCATCCAACATTTATTCTTACTTGAGGCTAAACGGAAAATTTGTTTAATTAACTTTTACTATTTACACTCAAACATCCAGCGTGAAGAGCACTTTGTTTTACACACATCCACACATTTACACACACACACACACACACAGGTCTGTTCCTTAATATGCCTTCTGCTGTGAGGTTACGGCAGCTCATCTCCACACAGAATGAGGCCAGTGTTCTCACGGGCTGTGGCCAGGTGCCAGTTAACCTCTGCAAGGCCAGCGAGAAATGGAGCTTTATGACCCAANGGCCGGGGGGCGGGGGGGTAGAAAGAGGAGATGGAGGCAGGAAGGAGAGGGACTAAAAAGAAAAAGAAAAAAAGGCAAACAGTACCTCCACTGTGGAAAGAAGCATCCGAAAATGCACTCCTTCTGCAGGGAAAGGCTTAGATCGGAGTTTGGCTTTTATGACTTGTTCATGTTGGAGGTCGGTGTGTTAAACATCTCCTCCTCCTTAATGTCCATCAATCTCTTCTTGATTCTTCCTCACACACTCTGAAACCATCATCTATCTCCACTCTCTCCCCTCAGCACGTCCTTCTCTCATCTTTATCTCCAAACTGTTTAACCGCTGCTGCTCATGAAATCAAGTTCCTGTTCCTTTAGTATTTGCCCTTCATCAGCGTCGTGAAAGCTAAATCGCTCACTGTTTACATCTTATATCACCTCATTCAGGATATTACATCCATTATGCTGTGGGTGGATGTGGGCAATACACTATAAAAACAGAACCTTAGGAGCAGCTTATCGATTACTTCCTGTATCAGTTACATCACAGGCCCACACACACACACACACACACACACACACACACACACACACTGCTAACTGTAGAGCACAAACAATCATTTGCCGGTACTTTAATGCATCAGGAAGAAATATCCATTTATAACAGTGATGTATTTGACATTCAGTGAGAAGCATTAAGTGTTTTTCTCCTCATGATATGACCTCAAGCTGCTCTATGACTGTTTCAACAGTGGACACGGTGACACACTCTCTATATGTCACTTGACTGAGGAACGTTGACAAGTTGAACATTTGGTAAAAACAACTTTTCACCGTATTTGACATGAAGTCATGATATAAACTCTAATGAATTTTAATTCAAGACTGTGAACAGAGCAGCACTTGAATCACAGAGCTACACATGCATTCCAACTATCCGTGATTGACTGTGACTTCCTACCTACACAGAACTAACAACGACATGTGACTAATTTTTCAATCAGTTAATTTCCTACAGCCCTGAGGTGCTTTAAAAACCTCTTTAGAAAAAAAACATTAGAGACAGTGTGTCAATGCATTTAATCTACTGTGTCATTCATTCATTTGTTTCATTCAATGCTGTGAACAACACTCAGTGGTTAGTGTAAACAGCACACTGTGACCTTGTGTTTTCTCTCTACATAGGTTGAGAATGTAGCTTCAATGTGTAAATGTTAATTGTACAGGTTTAGCGACTCTGACTTGATGATTTCACACAGGGAAGATGAGGTCAATTGTGTTGATTCTGTGGGAAGACACATTTCCAACTTTAACTGAAAATCAATATTAGTATTTAGTCTAATTAGAAAATAAATGTCCAAATATTCTACCAAATATAAAGATATTCCTCACAATAATAAACTTAATCCTTAATCCTATACTTTTTGAGTGGACTTTTGAACAGATACCACAAAAAATACAAGGCTTCAGTAACACTTCTTTGTTGAAAGCTGTTCCATCACAGCTAGCCTCCGTAATTGGGATGAGCTTTATTTTAGTCTCACAACGTCACGATCCAATGCTGCTGGAAACAAGATTTAAAAATTTAAAAAGTACCGTTTAAGTCAGAGCAGTAAGATTTGAGGCTCACGGATGATCAAAAGGCGCTGCAGGCACAGGAGCCTGGAGCAAAAATAATTATCAAACCACCACACTGCTCTGAGGCAAAGGGACATTTGTCTGTTGTTTACACAGACAAAATTCAAAACAATAAACACCCTACACTACATTTGTAAAATGAAGATTAAAATTCAAAACAATAAACACCCTACACATTTGTAAAATGAAGATAAAAAAAAAAAAAGGTTAACTGGTGACAGTTAACTCGTAAAAATGGAGGATTCATTCTCCAAAAAGTGAAACAACCACAGATTCTAAAGGATTCATTTGGATTAAAACAAATTCTTTCAGCACGATGGTCCATATGTAACTTAAGATTGAATTTGGGAAATTTCTCCTACATTTTTTGTCTGTTTTGAATTGTATTATAGGAAGGATAATAATATCCCTGTATTACTCTGTTACCTGAAATACTACACAGGTGGTTATTGTATTGTAGCACATTGGAGTCTGTAGGATAGACCTTTGTGTGAAGTCATTGCATTACCTGTAACAGTCCTAAGTTAATTAAACTAATATCACTTTGTTCATCATCCAGAGAATTGCATTTTGACTTCATTTAATCACAAGACTTAAAATTCAATAAATAAATAAATCTTCAATAAAAATAATCTTAAAAAAGGGGGGCCCAATTGCACAACCCTTCTCAAATAATGAGGATCTAGGGGAAAAAAAACAAGCAGCAAAAGTTAATAACAAAACATGTTTTTCCCTTCATGGAATTTGATTAAGTACAAAGAGGACCAAGAAAGTATTAAATTACAGAGTAATACAAGAGAGATCCACTAATTGCTGGCACCGTAATTTACTCTGGGTCCAGAAAGTCTTTTTGAGAAAACGAACGGCCTGATAACCAATGCTGCCATAACATAATAATGAAACCATATTGAGGATAATGGAGAGGCTGTCAGGAGCGGACACCCGCTGAGTGAGGGAGCCACGCTCGATACGTGATGCAGTATCAAAACTGTGAGAGCCTCTGCCGTGGTTGTGGTTAATTCAGGCACACAAGGGCCATCTCCCTGACAATTAAGTGAAGGAGGCCTTTTTGACCATCATGGCACAATCATCTCTGCTTCAGTCCGGTGACTCAACTCCTTGATAATGAGACCAAGGAGGGTTTAGGAAGCTAATTATAATGATGGAGAGTCAGATTACAGCAGGCCTTTGGTCTGCAGTCAGACATTAGTTTAGAGCAGAGTCCATTTGTGAGCATTAACTCCATCATTCGTTCATCTGCTGGATTACTTCAGACAACAGACAACCCTGCTATTACAACAATGAAAATAAGTGCTTCACTTGCAGTGATGTTGGGAGTTCTGCTCTTGCGTCGCCACAAGAACACCGGTCCATCACTACTGGTCATTTCTGTAGGGAGTTTGTTTGTTTTCTCAAAAGTCCAAAACCATGCAGAATTAGGTTTGTTATTCACTCTAAATTGACCATCAGTGTGAATACGAGTGTGAATGCCCCTGCAGTGGGCCGGTGAACTGTCCAGTGTGAATCGTAGCCGTTGGCTTTTCTGTTTCATTTTCAGCCTTGACCTTTACACTGCCTTTAACCCTGCCTTTAAACACTAATGAGACTCAATGCACAATTGTGACACGGAGCATGTGGGCCAGTGTGTGCACATGCGTGACAGAAGAGACAGACGTGACCAGAACAGAAACAGAAGACAGACGTGACCAGAACAGAAATATGGGGCTCGGCCAAAATAATACCAATAATACATAATAATAATAATAAAAAAAACAATAAAAAAAAGGGGGGAAAAAAAACAACCAAAGAGCTTTGAGTAGATGATAGTATTAATCTAGTTTAAACCAAAGGCAGAAGTAAACAAGTCACACCGTGACATGCAGAATTCCATTAATTAACAAACAGTAAGCTATAATACAATTAACTGGTGTTTGGAATTGTCATTAAAGAATTTATTTTTCTCTACTTTTACTTTTGTTCCCTACAAACGGTTTTCTAATTGCTATCAAGGTGCGTGGAGGTCGTCAACAAAGGATTAAAGTGTTTTGCTAACAATAAAAAAGATTCATTAAAATTGGATTTGATTTTCCATCAATGTGTGTTTGCATGTATTGTAGATATTTGCATATGATTAAGCAGTTGTGAAAGAAAGCTGTTTGCTTTTTGAAGGTTTAGAACAAATGTAATTTCTTATCAATTTGATATAAACTTTGATTAAACTGTGTAGCTGACTTTATTCTTTCTTATTACTGCTTGTCCCTGACCAAGACACGCCCTAACTAGACCCAGGAACTATGTCAGGAGATTTATAACATGTTGAGAACAGTGATTAATCATAAACAGCCTTTCTGACTTTCTGTCATAAAAAATAAATTCAGGTCAATATTTTTAAATTCTATGCATTTTATAATTTTAGAACTGAGTGAAATTAATAAATCAAAGCTGATGTGATCGATTCCATGGCCGTGATTGATGGTCAATAGAAAAGATTCATGGGTGTGGAAAACAATCCTTGTGCTGCGCTGGCAGAATGGTTCTGCAATCAATCAAAATAAACATGTATACAGTGAGGACTGTATAGGAGCCGAGTGTGTTCATAAATATTTGATCAGTTCTTCTCTCACACCTGGAGGCCGACTTCAGGCCTAACAACAACTACAACGCAATATTCACTTTAAAAGGTCTGAAAATGACATAATCATTACAAAATTACAATCATCTTGTACAACAGTAAAACATCCTGAGATCATGTTACTATGGCCACAGGTATTTCTGATCCAGTAATCCAGTGTGAGGACAAACGCCGTTTCTTCTTAATGGGCTACTGTAGGACATGACAGGTGAAGATAGGAAGATCTCTGCCTCTAATCACTGCTTCATTCCTACTGTCTCATGGCAGCCTTCCTGCTGCACGTAATTGGCTCTGATTCTGACTTTGCTTCTCTTTGTATGCCTTTGTTTCTGGAGCTGTCAGCTACATAGCAACAGCACAGAAACACCAGATTTACAAAAAAAAAAAAAAAAGGTTTCTATAAACAGAAATGCTTAGCAACGCAACACAAAACCTGAGCCTTTATTTAGATCACTCTCTTTTTAAAAAAAAAAAAATCCGATTTATTTTCCCACAAACAATGGTGTCTTTACAGCACACTGTCTCAGAAAGTCCAAAAATGATCAGTGTTGACCACAGCAAAGAGGTCAGAGCACATTACTCCATTTTTAAGTCCTTACACTGGGCGGATAGATTTCAGCATCATACCACTGGTCAACCAATCAGTCCAAACTACACAAGCAAGCTGTTAGTAGAACATGAACCCAGCAGGGTTCAGAGGTCAACAGACTCAGTGGTGTCCATGGTTAAAAATAAAGTTAAAATGGTGGGGGGAAAAAAAACCCAGAATCCCTTGCTACAGTATAATATGGTACTTGGTACACAGAGTACTCTGTTGAGCTATTGCAAAATGTCTTATGGTTTGAATTACTAAAACAAGTAACGTTTTACAAAGAGACTAATAATCTCAATACCGGAGGTAAAATGCAAAATATTTCTTTGCTTCACTTATTGGAAAAAAAAATCTTTCCTCTGCCTTTTGTTATTATCAAGCTTCTCATAAAATATGTTTTATTCCCAGATTTATACAGTCGTCAACAAGCTGGTTCTCCTGATTTCCAGGGTGATAAATGAGATGAAAATACTCTGGATACACTGCAGAATAAGGTCCAGTAACCATGAATCCCTCATTCATATCCTCAGCTCTGAGGTGTCAGCGGGCGCTGTTTCACATACAGGGTTCATTAATATGGCAAAGATGCTGGGCAGACAGAAAAAATGTCATAATCATCTGACATTTTCAGGCAGTGGGAATATATAAAAAGTAATGTCTGGATTAATGCATCCCAAGCTTCCTCTCTCTGATGGATGAGCCCACTGCACACATTTGTCTTCCCGGGGTAATCTCTCATGATGAAGACCTAACATGCTGTACTGTTTGTCAGTGAGCATATTTGAAAGGGTGCAACAGCCGCTGGTTCATGTTTTTGTATTGAAAACAAAAAAACAAAAAAAAACTAAAGAGTTGCGACTAAATGGGATGTGAATGTACACTGTGACTTACTGACAAATCTGTTGTTGTCTGAAATCAAGTGAAAGGTTAATGCATTTCCTGTGCAAAGCTGCAACACACACACACACACACACACAAAACTCCATGCTTTTTTTAACAGACAGGCTGGTCTCAGGTCAGCAGCATCGTTAGGCATTCTGACTCATATTCTGCTCACTGTTGCTGTTAGAGCCACGAGGGATGTGGAGGGATGTTCCTGCTCCGGCAAAACTGGAATAGTCATGGACAGAAATAATGTACCCATTTGATTTGCTCCAGTCCCCCCACCCCATCATCTGCCAGTCTCCCCTCATACCTGCGGACATGGGCTTATCATTAATATGACAGTGATGGATGATGTGTTTGTGGCTTTATAGTTAATTTATTCTGCATGCCCGCAGTCGAGCTGACTGTAGAAACCGTCGCCACGGATTTTCTGGCTCAGTTTCAGCAGGTAAAGTTATGAACATCTAAGTTTTGAGCAGGTTCAATGGAATAAAACGTGAAACACAGCTAGTACAGGATGAGCCTCCGTACTGAATAACATTTGCATCTTTATTCACAGCTAGCACCAAGATAGGATTACAACAAACCAACAGATTGGGTTTGACTTTCTGTGGATCATCCAATGATGTGATCCCGGCACGGCTAATCTAGTCCCGGTCTAAATTATTACGAACAGATAAGCCTTTTCAAAACCAGGAACATTCCTGCAGCTGTTTGACAGACTGGTTTAGCTGGGGAAAAAATATAAATCAGAAATATTCAAAATCAATGGACGTCCACTTAGGCCTTAATGCTTAGACGTTAACATTTGTCCCACATTTGATTTATTGATGTAGTGCACTGTGGAACATTTGTAGATGGTAAATGGTCTGCATTTCTGAAACACTTTCAAGGTCTACACATCCACTCAATGTGCTTCACAATAACTCACTACTACTATACATGACTGCTTTGCATTTCTGTTTTTTTCCCTTTTCATCCATTAGCATGTAGAACACATGAGCATTAATTAGACTCACTGTGGATGTCAAGGTGTTAGAAATGAGGTATATTGCACATAGTGTTGTCTTACCTGATCCCACGGACAGATGATGCCACCGGAAAACATAAAGAGGTAACCCATGGCAACCAAGCAGGCCCAAATAACAAGTGAGAAAATCCGTAGGAGCTTCTTGAAGATGGACTCAATGCAGACGAGTACGAACACGGCCAAAAAGATGGCCAGCGCCGTAGGTACGGTGATCACGAAGGCGACGTGGTCCTCAACATTCTGCAAGAATAAAAAAGGGACAAATAAGAAGAATCAGCAAGTAGTAGTAATTTATGAAAGTGGGGAGGAAATAATTAATGAACTATCTTATTTACATTGAGACACAGAAGTACGAGAAAGATCATTCCAGAGTAATAAAACCATCGCTCTCTAATCATCAGCAGAGGTGATGTGATTCATCGTGAGAAGAATTGTTTTCCTGCCTTTGAAAAACAAGGTGTCACTGAAGTAACACGAGTGGGAAGATGAAACAAATACTTTTCAGATCTGAAGGTAGTCTTTTTACTTCTGAGTATGACAAGCCTGAATGACTGCAAACAAACTGAAAAGCCATGTTTATTAACAACCGAAAATTAAAAAAAAAAAAAATAAGGCGCTGAAATAATGTAACAAGTGCTGACATAGTTTTAAAATGAATATATGCAAAGCAACCATTAAAAAGATCTTGCTGGTGCCTGTTGTTTCCTTCCATGAGCGATGACTCTTGGTGCACAGCTGGATCATTATGTTCAATAACTGCTGCTGAGACACGAGGAGTCCACAGCTCCTCTGGTGATTTTAAAGACCAGCGTTGGATAGAATACAGATGCACTGCATTTAAACCAATTTTTTTTTAGTTCATAAATTATTATATTTTCTTGTCATTCCATTAACCCGAGTTTTGCAACACTGGACAACTTTCTGCAGCAGGCCATAGTAATAAAGTAGTAACCTATTATGTATTTCTGAACCTGGTTAATCAAACATAATAATAAAAATATATTTATGTTAATGTTAATACTGCTGCTTTACCACACTGCCCCTAGAGGCCAGAAAGAAAACATGGTAAATTTTTCAAAATCAATTAAAACTTAGAGAAGGCCTGGCATCTTATTTTTCTCCGGGAACCACCAGATAAGGCAATAATTAGGATTTAACACAAATTGCTTTTAACGCCACTGCTTTTTTTGTAGGCACTGTGGAGAAAACTGTTTTTTCAAATGACACCTTCCAGTACAAATATCTGTCCAATGATACTGCTGACATTTACAATGATGATATGAGGAGAGTTACCACCGCAGTATGTCAGTGACATGTGATATAAAACAAACAAACAAACAAAAAACTTGTAACCTTTATTGAACCACAATAAAGGAACACAGGTTATTTTTACGTGAAATGAAACCAAAAGACCAAACCAAACAATACTACTGTCCTTCCTATCGTTCTACAAACTTCAATGCATTACTGGGTAATTCTCCACGCAAGAAACAAACAAGCTACAATGAACAAAAGTATGCTAATTCCTCCGAAGTTACACAAGAGAATATTCTGAAACATTTGTGTCCCTGTTTGGGATTTTATGCATAAGCTGACAAAACAAAACAAAAATCCCTGATGCAATGACTTATTTAGAAATAACTCTTTTCATTTCAATACGTCTGTTCCAGTCGATTTACTGGTCACTGTGACGACGCAGCTCCCAGGACTGAATAACGGCTGTGAGATATTATAAAACACTACACTGAATATTAAAGCAACAATAGAAGTAAATATTCATTGCACAACGTTGACTTTTTGCTGCAGGTTAACCAGCGTTGCCATCAACCAGTATCAAAGACAAAATCCCATTCATAATAGATTTTCTTCTGCGTTTGCTCAAAAACACTTAGATGTGAAAGTTCTAATAAAAATTTCAGGAGTTTCTTCAAGGTAGAGGATGGATGAGCAGAGCGAAATGAGTCATTTCTACTGCTGCCCTTGCCAGGCTTCATTTCATCAACACTTCCAGCAGTGTGACAGCGTAAGGGTCACAGTCGGCACACGAAGGCAGATGTGTCACGTCACCGCCGCCACGTACCATGGTGTAAACTAGTCGGTCTGAAACAGGCTCACAGTTTAACGGTCGGAACCAAAACAGCCTTCCCACCAGACTGATCAACTCTTACTGATTAAATTAAACCTAAATGTGTCTCAATACTTTTTTTTTTTTTATGTATGACTATTTTTTTAGCTTGAAAATCACATTCTGCTGAAAGGAATGGATTATTTTCGAATTACTTTGTCAGGCACGTTCCTCAAACTGTGACCTCACCCACTGATGTTCTGCCATCTTTCCAACAATCCCCTGTCTCCTTCATGCCCCCCCCCCTTCACTCCCACTTCCTCCCTCCCTCCATCTCTATCTCATGCACACAGTCACTGCACTGGGACAGCACAGCCGCAGAGAGCTTGTCTGGCCCAGAGCAGAGCAGCTCCAAAACAGCTCAGGATTTAGGTCAGTCAGAAAGCAGCGGGAGACTGAAGGAGGCAGAGGGAGAGGGAGAGGGAGAGAGAGAGATGGAGTGGGAGAGAGAGGGCAAGCATATGATGCAAATAAAACAGCATATTTGAGAAAGTAAGAGAAGGGTTCAGAAAGAGAGCAGGATGTGGGCGGATGGTGGTGATGGAGAGAACTGCAAAAGTCAGGACTATGTGGAGCAGGAGTTGAAACAAAAAGGGAAACACAGAACAGAGGCGTGACATTAGAACCTTTTATAAAAGGCTTGTTTGCACAAAAGGTTTGCACTTTGCATTTGTACTCTTAAATGTATTTTAAAGGCATTTTGATAATTTATAATAAACATTTTTGTGGCTGAATCTGCATTAAATAAACTCTAAGCACCATAGAACATAATGCACAGCAAATGCAACAACCATTAAAACACAGTGTCCTCAGTGTTTAGAATTTTATTTTATTAGACAATTTCAGATTTAAGGAAACTCTCCTGGTGATTAATATAACATGATATTTCACACAGTGATTCAAAACGCCTGCTGTAATTTAGCCACGGTTACTTTTCACTGTCAGGATAATTGTGAATGGGATTAGTCGTCTCTACAGGAGTGTTTTTAATGGCCCTTCAGCTGGCGACTGCGCAGTTATTTTAAAGTGCCACAAGGGGAGCATCGTTCAAACTACTCTAACTGTCAACACAGCTGAGCGTGCCACCTGCTCACTGTATCCTTTAAGCAAAACTACATTCAGATGCATGTAAAAAATAATAATAAAAAAACAACAGGGATTTTAAAATAAGGACTAAAATGACATCTTCTTCCTGCTGCTCCCCTCAGGGGTGCCCACAGCCCATCAGCTGTCTCCATCTCACTCCATCTCTTTCCTCCTGGTGTAACTGTCAACACCAGCCAGCTTCATCACCTCCTTCACTGCATCCATGAATCTTCTCTGGGGATTTCATTATTCCTGCCGCTTGGCAGCTGCACCTCCAAATTCCTTTGTTCAAACATCCACCATCTCTCCTCAGCAGATATACCAACTATGTCAGCGTTGCCTCTGTAACTTTATCACCATACTGTTCCTCTGATCTGGTTATTTCTTCTGCTGGCCATCCTGGTCAATCCTAAAGAAAACCTCAGCATCTTTAACCCTTTCGCCTCCAGTGCAGCATTCTTTTACCTCAGAGTGCTACTGTCTACAAAACCACACATCGTAGCAGGTTTCACAATTCACCATCCTACAAACGAATGGAAAAAAAAACGAACAAAAAAAGTGTCTGTTGTGACCTTCATCATCTCCTAACCTTTGAACCTAATCTCTGCATGCTGCACATGCAGTAAAGTCAAAATCATGTCTGCTCTCATCATAACATTCTTATTATGATGCAGCATATTTTGACTAGTATGTACAGTGTGGTCAAAGAGCAATATAAGATCATTTTAACTAACAGCTAACAAGTTACTAAATACTTGGCAAAGAGAGCAGCTGCTAACTGCCACTTTGTATGATGGTGACTAATATTGAGCTTCAGAGCTGAGATTCAGGGAAAAATGTGTCTTTGTTATTTCCAGTGTGTAATTAACTTTTATTAAAAAACATTTATATATATTTGAAAATACAGGTCAATAATATTTTTTTTTATCTTTTCTATTTTGTTTCCTTATAATCCTACTCCTATTCTGGTCTTTTGCTTCAGTTAATGTTGTTAAAATAAAGGTTAAAATAAAAAATCTACAAATTGACCATATTGGTGGTAACAGCAGTATATATATATTGGTAAAATATTATAGATCCAAAAGTGTTTTCTTCTTCCAGTGTCATCATCCCAACAGGAGACAAAACAAGGTCATTAACACATGATTCACACCCTCCATTTGCTGTTTCTACACAGTCATTCACACGGTTTCCTAAATTTGTCTCCTGAACGTGTGTCTAATAAACACAAAAAGAGCTCCACAGTGTGAGACCAACATTCAGGTCCCAGCGTTTCCTCTCTGGCTGTGATAGACTGTATGTACAGCAGGCTGCAGTCATCGCAGTAACACTAACGTGTGTTTGTCACTGTTCTGTCTCTGTCAGTGTGCTTTAGACTGATGCCTCCTCACGAGCTGACTCAGCAGAGACACAGAGAGCCACTATCCTAATGCACGAAAAAAAAAAGTAATTACTCCATAAGTCTATATTTAAACACGCAATGCCATAATGTAGAGGAGGTTCCCAGCCGTCAGGATCCAAGCCAGGAAAAATTATCATTCACAAATTACTTCAGTATTTCCCCCGCAGCCTTTCCTTTACTAAAATATTCTGGGGTTTTCAAGCAAAGAAATACTGTCACAACAGTGACAGAGGGACACAGATCTCCTTTCTGCAGCCCAGTCAGCCATCAGCTCATCAGTAACCAAGCCCCTAAGTCCCCCCCATCCTACCCCCCCCCAGCCCATTCACTTTTATCTCAGCCTTCTCTTCAGATTAGTGCTGCATTGAGGACCACAAGCTGTGACAACGTGCATGAATAAAGGTGGAGCAAAAAGCACACTTGTATGAGCGAGTCCACCTTTTGTGTTTGACAAGCCGGTGGCTTATAGGGAAGGTATGCGCGCGCACACACACACACACACACACACACACGTCTACGTCTGACTGCTTATAGACCAGGCTGCAGTCTGCCAGTGAGCACATCGACATGTTGTCATTGCAGGGACGGAATGGAGCAGATTAGTGACCAAACAGCTGCACCGTCTTACTAACCCTGACACATGCAGTTTAGTCATTTCAGAAACAACACACCAGGATGATTTTAGTGGAGAGAGAACTTTGTGTTGTCATTTTGTACAACTTTGTGTTTATTTAAGTACTTTTGTCTTTATGTCTGAGCCAATGTGTCAGTTATTTACACCTAACTGTTTGGTCCTGGATGTTAACAAATACTTTTAGAAAACTTGTTTTATTTTTGATGTAGTTGGTCAAAAGCTTACCAGTCCTGAGGCGAAGAAGACAGCGAGCAGAGCCAGACAGGCGCCCATCACTATGAGCAGCAGAAACACGATGAGTGGATGCTGCTGGCTCATACAGTAGTAGGACTCATACAGCCAGTCCGGGGACCTGTTCCTCTCCTTTTGACCACCTTCTTTATCCCCTTCTCCTGTCTCTCCTACCCGGTCTAGGAGGTACCATTTCCTCCTTATTGCTTCCTGCCACATGGATCTTGGAGCTGAGAGGGATGAGGAGGAGGAGGAGGAGGGGGGAGGGATGCTCACTGCTAAGGTATTAGTTTCCAGTGCCGCTGAGGAGCAGTTGCCCTGCTCGGCTCTCCTGCTGTTGTTGTTCTTGTTGGGAACCCTGGTGGAGCAGCTCCTGACATCCAGCATGTCCTTTGGTTCCTGGTCCACTTGGTCTTCTTTTAAGTCCTTCAGGCGGAGACAGCCGAGCGCTGACGCTGACTCAGAGTCGGAGGAAGTGTGCGCTGGCCAGAGAGGTGGCAAGAACGCACCAAGAGCAGAGCGCAGCATCCTCCCCTTCCTCCTTCTGCCAACATGTTGGAGCGGGAAATGAACTGTGCAGACACCGAGTGCTCTTTAGGCTGAGAGGGAGACAAGTGGGAGGGAAGTGAAGGGAAAGGGAGGGAGGGAGAATGAAGGGGAGGGTGAAAGAGAGGAGAGAAAGAAGGGAGAAAAGGGAGGGTGCAGCAGAGAAGAGGAGAGAACGGAGAAAACTGTGACACAGACATCAGTGCTGATGAGATTACTTGAACAAGGAAACAAATATTAGGGGAAAAGACTGAGATTAACTCCAGGGATGGAGGGATTGTTACAACCCGTCCAATCACATCCTCCCAGGCTGTGTTAATCCTCTTCTGCTGCTCTCTCTACAAATTGGACAATAATCTACCCAAAGATCTGTTGAATCAGCTCTAATGACTGGAGTTGACTGAAATATTTGCAAGTGGTAAAAATAGACAGATGGAGGAGTGAGGAATTAAATACAAGTTTTGACTTCTGTCAAAAAACATTTCCAATCACACAGATTTATAGTTCTCAGCTTTCAATCAAACACTTTACCCCAGCCTCTCTGTCGCCACCCAGGTTTTAAAGCACTACTCGACTAAAATATTTCCTTCAAAACCCCAACAAAACAATATAATCTGTATTATCTGTAACCAAATTACAAAACAAAATCTACGTTACAGTTTTTACATTAGATTAGGATTAAGAAAATCACAACCTACCATTAAGAACACTTTGAACAATGTTAAAGTTGTTTTGTCACAAGTAAATGAAGAAGCAGCTCACACAAAGAAATAAAGTCTGACTTTACTTTCACAAGATTTCATTCTTTTTTTTAATTGTCAAACACAGTGTGAAACTACACACTGTGGACATTTAAAATGTGTCGCTTTGATTTTATTCCCTCCAAGCATAGGTCTTAAAGGAACATTCTAGAGCACAGTTGTCACATTTTTAAAGTTACATTTTTGTTGCCCATCTGTTTCAACGCAGGAAACAAAAGCACCCAAGTGCAGAGAAACAAGGAAACAGTCTTCAATTATTGACAGGCAAGAGCAACCACATAACAGCCATACTCACAAATGCAATCTAAAATATTCCTGGAAAAACAAGGACCAGCGGCAGGAGCACAGGGAGAAGAAAAACACACACAGGAAGAACCAAAGGATGAAACAGAGAAGAAAATCCAAGTCATGGGCAAAGAAACCAGGTGAAACACATCAGGGAGAGTCAGGCAATCAACCACACAGGAAGTAGAAATAGAAGTGCAAAATTCAAACTGGTAACAAACACAAAATAGAAAGCAAAATGAAAAAGCAAGAGCTAATGTAGAAATTAAAATTGAAAAACTACATTTTATGAAATTCAACAAAAGTTTGGTTCTAAATTATATACATGTGAAGCTCTGGTGGGCAGCATAAAAAGACCCACATTCAGTCTGCGGGCCTTGAGTTTGACACATGATGTAACTAGAGGCAAAATAATAATAATAATAATAAAAACTGTGAGGCATGAGACAATTTCATTATTTAGTTCCATTTTTTTCTGTTTGACTCTCATGTGTGGGTGAAAACAACACTTTTTTTCCCCAATACTCAGACATAATTATCAACCTTCCCACTGACACGCCCACTACTGACAGAGTCTATTAAGGGTTTGAGTGACATGTTTTCCTTCAGGTCAAATCAAAAAGAATTAAAAAAAGGGAAACTAAATAATTCAATTACTTCATGTCTCACGGTTTTTATTTTTGAAAACCTCAAATTCTACACCTTCCACCCGTCGTTGGTATTTTCTGTTTAGTACTACAAGTGTTAAAGGAGCATTACAGCTGAATCTAATCCCATTCAAGCAGTTTGTATAGATTATATCAATGCTTCCCAACCTTTTTTGAGCCACGGCACATGTATATCATCAGGAAAAATCCCACGACACACAACCATACAAAAATCTTACAAAAAGGTATATGTAATGAAATATAATAATATTCTTATTATTAGTACATGTTTATATTTACTAAACATGTACTCCTGTTTAGTTGAAGACAACGCTAATATACTGACAGGAATTGAAGAAAGACACTCACAAAGATCTTAAACAGCTCTGATTATGTTTTCTTAGTTTTCATAGCTATCTGCTGCCACCTAGCGAAGAGTATTTAATTCTCCTGCTTGTCACGCATTGACAAAATAAAATTATTTGCAAAAAATACATTTTAGTTTTCAGACCAATTACTTGAAATTTGATAATTTTCCATGGCAAACCTAATGATTTTCTTAATCGAAGGACATTATTCACACAGTTAAAAAAAGGATAAGTAAAAACACAAGCAGAAGTTGTCTGAGAAACAATATTGATTCCCTACATGTGGTTCTCCTGAGAGAGATAATGGGAACGTCGTCTTGTTCTCATTATCTCTCTCTTATCTTACAGTAGCAGTGCAGGCAGGAAAAGGTACTGTATCTACCGTCTGAAGAATCCTGTTGCTTCCCTCACCTTCATCTCATGCACATCATTACCCTTTTTTCCACCTCTTCAGTATAATCTTCCCCTTCTGTCTTCACTCCCCCATTTCATCCCTTAAAATTACCCCAGTATTTTTCCCTCAACTTTAATGCCACCCTCAGATACAACTGGAATTCTTGATCATTTACTTTTACTTCCATTCACGTCTTTTCATCAAATCATTCCCTTATACATGATGAAGAAAATGTCCCTCGGCCTTTAAATTAATTAAATTAAATTATTTACAGAAAAAAATGTATTTAAAAATATATAGAGACATTTATATGTGAATAAAGTAACAGTAATATGAATTTTATACGTAGATCACACAGGTGAGTTAAATCCAAACACATTTTCACTGAGGTGATAATGAAAAAGTATTGAGCTGTTCAGGGTTGAGCAGAGGTCAAGGAAAAGTCTGTAAACAGCTCTCTCTCTCTTCCTCTCTCTCTCTCTCTCTCTTTCGTACACACACACTATGAAAATAATTTCCATCAGCTAAATGAAGGTTCATTAACAATGGTCTGTATTAAATGGGAAGTTTTTCACATAAACAACAATCTGTTGTTTATGTCTCCTTTTACCGGAACTATGTTACTGTGTGTCGTTCTAATATCTCTAAGTTCCTTTTTTTTTCTGGTCTGTACCATAACCCCACATGAAAATGCTTACTGGGGAAGAAAGCAAATTGGAACTCAATGAGCAGAGTTGTGCCATAATGTCTGAGAAGTTTTTAAATAAAATTACAAAATACAATATTTTCTTTAAATAAAAGGAGTGTCACTTGACGTGCAGTACGTAGGTCCATGCGTGACCTAGCACGTCAAACATTTGTTATGGTCATGAAGTTAATGTTAAACAAAACTTTTTTATCACATTGTTTACTTGAAATAGTTACAGTGACGACAATATTTATTTGTTGTATTATATCATCTTGACAAACTAATTCTAAGACGTCGCTGGATTTATCTTCATTCACTAAAACAGGAACGAAGAGAGAAAAATAGAAATATCGTCTTAACACTTACTTCCAAAATATCGTCACCATGTACGCGTGTAAACTATCACACACTGACAGTTGGGTTTGGTTTTTATCTTCGTGTCTTTTCAAGATTTGAAGTAACGTGTTCGTATCGCGTGGTTCCTCTGTATCACGTGGCACACCTGGCTTTTTCCACAGCTGTCCAGCAGAGGGCGCCTACAATGAACCGACAAATTTCATGTATTAGCTAAATGCAATTTACTCCCATCAAGTGGATTTCTGTATTGTGACACCTAGCAGGTTGTTTGTCATTTATGACTGACTATGACAGACTAACTTATAATAAAGGAGTCCCTTTATATTTGCTATTAAATTCCATTTGTTATATAATATAACACCATACATCACCGTGCATTTTATCGTTGCTAAGCAAATGGGAAATTCACAGGATACTATGTTCCTTGTAGTGTCCAGGTTTTTCATATCTATAGAGATGGGGTGTTTTCAATGTGAATCAGATTTTTAATTTAAAATACATATTCACACCCATCAATTCAGTATCTCTCATTTTTATTCCAGGAAATAATATGGCCATACGAGACGTGAGCAATTCTCCTTTGGTATAACCTACTTCTTAATATAGAGCTGGTTAATTTCAGTCACTGCACTGTATATAATTTCACTTCAAGCTATGTGTCTCTGAAGTCTATTCTACCGTCTCAGTGTGTGTATTCAAGAACTGTCTGCGCTTGTTTTGACATTTCTCTGTGTGTGTATAGTGTAGAGAAGAGATGAAGAAGGTTCAAGTATTTGAACTCACAGTAGGGGGAGGGGGACAATCCTGGTGATGCAATTTTCGCTCACCCTCTCTGGGTAAATTATTTCAGTTACTCTTTTCCAACCTTTTCAGGTTGTCTCAGTCAGAGGAAGGAAGACCTTCACTCACACTTGAAATAAGTGCCACATATCTGCTCCACATTTCCTCTTTTTTCTAACTCAGTTATTTTAAAAATGTGGATGGACGGGTTACAGAAATGACAACATACCTGATATGCTATTATATACACATATGCACAGAACACGTATAATAACAATAAATAATAATAACAATAAAAAATAGGTATTATTCTATAGTGAATGTATATGCTGCTGCTCTTATCTTTTTTTGAAGAACATCGTCAATGAAACCATAGTCCCGCATCTTAAACAGTTCCAACAGTCCAATCATCAGATGAAAAAATCCCAACGTCAGAACCTGTCCACTGCACATAGACACCCAGCGAAGCCCTGTTTTTATGGAAACATAATGTTTGTCATTGTTTTTAGCTGAGCTTCAACAGTGTTTAATACGCTAATGTAGGAAAAAAATTATTGCAGACACACAGTACCGTAGCTGATTCTAAATCACCTACTCATATGGCTGACCGTGGATTTAGCGCAAAAAGAGTAAATAAAAAGTCAATTAAAACTGTTTTATTTGAGGAAGCTGAGCCCCCCCTGCTGGCCCAAAACAACCTCT